ATTTAATCATAATTAAAAATATTGTCTAAATAAAGAATAATGCTTTTATTGCCATGGTGATCACCCATCCAACACAAATTCATATAAAATAAATAAAGAGACCCAATATATATATATATATATATATAAATATAAACAATAGTCAAAATCCTCTTCAAAGAGAAGACATAAACTCTTGAAGGCCTTACACCAAACAGTAACCAACCAAAACACAAGTCACACAAAAAAGCATAAGTTAACAAAGAAAAGCACAAGTATACAAACAACAAGACAAACACAGCACAATTATATGCCCAGACATTGAACCAATCTCAAACTTTAACATTAGGACAAAGAATCCAATGAAACCTAGGAAATAAAATATACCCACACAAAAAAGCGCATAAAAATCACAGGTAAAAGAGCAATGAATTAAACAAAAAAAACAACAAAAAAACTCAATCACTAAATACAAGATTCTCCCATAATGGGGTCTCCACCAACACAGGTTAGGAATATAAAACCAAATGAGGAATATAAAACGACAAAAAGATATTCAGATGAATAAAGACTTCTCATGGGTGTAAACAATAAAAAATATAGTCAGTGTGATATCAAATGTAATAATCAACATGAATTCTGAAAGAAATTACAGAAATTCTTACACACTATACATGATGGAACTCTAACCGTAAAAGATAATGAAATACTTAGATAAAACCATCTCCTATGAATAAAAAATGAGATTTAAAATATTTGTTATATAGACAATATATTGACATATATGTAGAAAATATAGAATAGAGTAATATAATAATAGAATATAGACAATAATAGGATATTTGATACACAGAGAACAACCAGAAGAGATAGGACTATGTAAGATCTGGCTAAAAGAATAGATAAGCTCAATTTTAAAAACTATGACATAATTAGAAATTAGAAAGGACAGAAGAGAACAAATTGGAGGGGTTTATCATTTTGCATGACAGTACATGAACCCAAATTTAAACTTTTAATTTTCAAATATTATAGGAGGAAAAAACCTGTTTGAACTCATTAGCCAATATAATATAAATTTACTAATACCTCCAGGCCATACTACAGGAGCAGATCCCAGTAATGCAAAAGGAAGCTCATTAAGTCACCTTAACCTTAAAAAAAAAAAAAAAAAAAAAAAAAAAAAAAAAACTTTGGAGGAAATACAAAAAATAACTTAGAAAGTAAAGATATTGAAAGCATAAAATATTTCAGTAATTTAACCATCTAAAAAATAAATAAAAATAAGACAATGATAATAGGATCAATAGTCCCATGGAGGAATAAACATTGCAACCCAGCAATAGAAACGAAGCATGCAACAAATGCGGAAGAAAAACTGTCAGGAAAACCTATTCCAACATGGGAAACAATTAACAGCAGTTAGATTAGCAAAAAAGAAAATCCTGGGAAAAATTTCTGTCTCACTAGACTTTAAAACACCTACAAGAAATGTGTGAAACTTTAGAAAAAACTTTACCATTAAAAAAAAGAAAGTCCCTTAAAATAAAACTATTAAAACTCAGTCATTAAAGAACTTAAACTAATAGTAAAAAAAATAACTATAGAGTAAGAACAGCCATTACAAGTGCAAAAAACAATAAGCACATGGGTTGGAGGATATAACATCTAAATTTTACAAACAGGCTCGAAGGAAACTATTGCAAAATGAATCATAAATCATTACTGGTCCAAAGAACAACATCCAGATAAAGAAGAAATGCTCTAGTCAATCCAATATTAAAATCAGATAAAACAGTCCTACTGATTTATATCTTCATGGTATAGAAAAAAAATAAGGTACGATAAAAATTGTTTGAAGGCTAGAAATAGGTTCAGACCTAATCACATTACATCTGATGCATTGGAGATAATACACATGAAAATTAATAAAGCTGGAAGAGAAAAAAAAAAGTATGCTTTAACTGTATTAATTTTGAATGTATTGATTCAATGTATTGATTTTGGAAAAAAAAATAAAGAAATTACAAACACTACAAAATGAAGTAATGAAGAAAGCCACAGCATGTTTCAAATCACACACCACTCATTATACTACAAGCATTAACAGACAACCTCATTAAATAAATGAATGAATAAAAAGGAACAGAATGCAAAATAAAAATATGAAAAAAGATAAAATCATATGCCAATAAAAGAACTGGCAACTAAACAAATAATTGAATATGCACTCAACAAAGGTAGAAAATCAGAAATTAATCCAGGGGGATATATACAACATTAAAGACTTAAACACTACAAATGAAGAAAGAAGAAATAGGCCTATTTTAGTACATTGATGGTCATTAGTTTCATAATTACTAATAACTGTAATTACAGTTTCACTTTCACTCTTTTTATATAAATTAACATTATTTTTATAAAATAAACACTTACCTAGGGAAAACCTGATTTTCTTTTTTTTTTTTTTTTTTTGACCAATTAATAACTTGATTACTTTTTTTTCTGAAATGAAAAGGTA